TCAAACTCCCTGCTTCTGAGGGGGAAAAATGTTAAAGTCCTTATCTTCTTAATGAGTTTTCCTCTGCCTCTACCTCCCAAATCTGGTACCAGCCCTCCTCTTGGTCACTCAACATATGCTTTTTCATTTGGTGTCATTTGCAGATTTCTGTACTGTGGGAACCTCTGGTGATCGCACTTCTGTTGTATCTAGAGATCAACAATGTGGCACCCTTGGGTGTGAGCCTCTGTTCTCCATCCTCCAAACACCACACTTCCCTCTTGCTATGTAGACCAAGTTGGCCTCAAAGTTGGAATCCTCCTGCCTCCGTTTCTCAAGTGCTAGGATGGCAGGTGAGTACCAGCAAGCCCAGCTCCGTGATTCTTGACCTGTGTGAAATGCATCTTGCTAGTGACTCACGTCTACTGAACTGTTTCTCACAGTGGCTGAAGTGCCTGGATCTGAATCTCAGGAAAGCTCGTAAAGAGGCAGAGTTCTTGGCTCCATCACGTAGGCCTTGGACACTGTTATTGACATTTTGAATGATTCATATTCATACACAGTTAAACAACCATCAAAACCACAAAGCCAGGTGGAAAAACCTAGGCCACTTCCATGCTTTGCTGCTCTCTGTGCCCAGAGTTAAAGACCAGGTGGAGATAGTCTTTGAATTATACAGAACCAGTTGCACATGACAAGAATAGCAATGAGAAACTTTCCAGGCAGGTGAAGTCCCTAGAGTGTTGCCTACATGTCTCAGTCTTGGTGATGTGTGTAGGGCCCACTGGGCATTCATTTGCCAGCAGACACTGTGGGTTGTCCTTGTGAAACTATTCATGGTGTAGTGAGCTCTGACGGCTGTCTACTTGGCTTTGCAGGTCAATCCATTGGGTCTAACATTCTGGACAATAGTATGCTGGCTACCATAGCACTATTTATAGTAGTTTAAATAGATTGCATTAATTTTTCTCCTTGAACCATAAGAATATTCGCTTTGCAGCAGCTAGGGTTGAGAATCATTTCCTCTAGAACAGACTGCAACCCTCTCATCAGACTGTGGTACAATGCTCCCCTCACAACCTAGTGTCTGAGACCCCTCTCATTGCAATGCAAAGATTTCACAGTGAATGGGACTCTCCATATGCATTCTTCCCTGTAATCCTCACACCAATCCAAAGTCCGTAACATTATCCAAAGTCCACAGAGGCACAAGAATCTTAGGGCAATGATGGACAGTGAAGCCAAGCCTGGCCATAGGGTATGAGTGATCGACTGTAAGCATATGAACGCTATGGGTATGTTTATCTTTTTCGTTCATTAATTTTTTTCTACTATAAAGGAATTGGTGTCCTGTCCTAGGCTAGATGTCGGGGATAGGAACTCAAGGAAGTTATTAGGGTTCTCTGCCCTTCATGTCCTGATCTAAGATGAGCACACACCATGAAAGAGGTAATTAAAACAATGAATGTGTGTTAGGGCAGTAAGGTGAGGCTGTGGAAATGCAGACACTGGGTACACTCCTGAGGAAGAAGATCCTCTCCCCCTGCGCCAGGAGGAGCAGACCATCCAGGGTGAGTTCTATGGGCAGAGTGAAGATTGATCCAGATGAACTGGGATCCCAGCTTAAGAACCAACCCGGCCAAGGTTCAGAGCAGGGCGTGTAGATATCAGGAAACTGGGGGAAGTTCACTATAGGATCAGTTAGCCTAGGAGTCAGGAGAGGGGTGAAGGGAGAGGCTGGAGGAAGCCATGTTTTAACCTACAATGGTCTCGTGGCCAGGAGAAAAGCTTGGGCTTTATCCTGAAGGCAAGATCAGGCACGCTGGTTTTAAAAGTGGTAGTCCAGGTGTGGTGGCTCATACTAGTAATCCCAGTTACTATAGCTGCATAGGTGGGAGGAATGTGGTTTGAAGAATGCCTTCACCACTGAGATTAAGAAAGCTGTCCCAGGGGCTGGGAAGGTGGCTCAGTGGTAGAGCACTTGCCTTGCATGCACGAGGCCCTGGGTTTGAATCTTCAGCGCCACATAGGCAGAAAAAGCCAGAAGTGGCACTGTGGCTCAAGTGGTAGAGCGTGAGCCTTGAGCTGAAGAACTGAGGGACAGCGCCCAGGTCCACAGTTCAGGCTCCAAGACCAACAACAAAAAAAAGAAAGTTGTCCCAGGTCCTTAGCTACCAGCAGCCCAGTGTAACCCTGGGTTTGGCAGCCTGTTTCTGAATGTTTTCTTCCATCTCTCTTAAGAATTTGATGATCACATCCACCATCCTCAGTCATCATTTCTATAGAAATAACTCTCAAATCTCCCCATACCCCCCCTTTTTTTCTTTTTAAACCAAGATTGTGCTGGGTAGCATAGGCTAGACTTGAACTTGTTGGTCTCCTGCATTAGCCTCTCAAGTCCTAGGATTATAGAGGTGTGCCACATGTCTGGCCCTAGTCCCTACTTGTAACACTACTAATTTTCTGGCTCAAAAGTTGCACTGGTCTGCTAGACTTCAACATCCTGCTTCTCCCCTTCTCCGCCCCCCCCCCCCCCACTGTCAGTCATGAGGGGAGATGTCAGAAGTCCTTGGGCTAGTTACAGAAACTAGTGGCAAGTGTGTACTGGGAGGTACGTACAGGCAGCAGGGAGGGTGGTATAGACTCGCAGTCCTGTAGGGAAACAAACGCTATCCCTAAATTGTTTAAATTAGATCATTACAAGTTCATGCTTTTAGAATGGATAGCTTGATGACTTGAAGTCTGAAAGTGTAACCATGAGAAAACTACCACATAGCTAGATACTCAGACTCAAGTGAGCCAATCTCTTCCAGAAATGGAAAAGGCCCATTGGAAGATTTAGCAATCTTCTCAGGCAGCTTGCTGCTTAAGGATTTACTGAAGACATATATTTCTATTTGTTTTAGAAAATTTAGAGTGACTTAAAAAAAAAAAAACTCTTGCAGATACCAATTATTTGTAAAAACAATCAATCAAATGCATACCCTGGTTGCTGTAGGGTGAAAGCTAGCCATGGAGTAATGCTTTCTTTCCACCCAAAGGGAGCTAATAACTTGAAATGAGCAACAAGGCAAGCACTAGCTCCCGATAAGCTTTAGAAGGAAAGTCTGAATGACTTTCAGTCTCATGAACATAGTCTATTGGTATGTACTAATCTTCTCTATCATGAATGTATGTAAAGCATTTTACCTTCAGCTAACTTGATAGTAATTTACATTCTTGTTCTGCAGGTTTGAATCTGGTTTTCTACCAAGAGTCACCGAATGCACATGGTTGTTAAAACCATGGAGTTTTAGTCAAGTGTGGTAGCACACCCTTGCAACCCCAGCACTCAGGAGACTGAGGCAGGAGGCTAGGAAGTTCAAAGCCAGCCAAGGTAACCTAGGCAAGACCCTGTCCAACTGAAATCCCTCCAAATAAACACAACTATGCATTTATGTTTAAGTAGTGTGATCCGAGGTGGAATCTACCACCTAGGACTTGATATGCTGTCGATAGGCTAGTCCCCACTTGGCTCAAGGCTCTGGCCTTCTAATCCTGTGATCCCAGCTCTCTCGGTGAGCAGTCTTGGCTCCCTCACTCTAAACTAAGGACAAGAAAGGTTGCCTAGCTATAAAATCCTGGGGTTTACTTGTCTGGTGCTTCCTGAAACTTTAGGGTTTGACATACACAAGCAGGAGGAATCAGGGTCAGGTGTGCAGTATTTAGGTCTGTTATAAATGAGAACCATAGATTGGGTGGCTTACAAACAACAGAAATTTATTTCTGCCTCTTCTGGAGGGTGGGATGTCTATGAGCAAGATGCTGGCAAGACAAAAATGTCTGTGAAGAGCACACATCGCGGGTCAGTACTTCCCTCTGTATCCTCACATGGCAGAAGGGGCACGGGACCTCTCTGGCGGCTCTTTTTTTTTGCAGTGGGAAGGGGAGGGGTCAGTTGTGGAACTTGAAATCAGGGACTGGGCACTGTCCCTGAGCAATTTTTGTTCAAGACTAGTGCTCTACCACTTGGAGCCATAGCTCTACTTCCAGTTTTCTAGTAGTTAATTGGAGGCAAGAGTCTCATGGACTTTCCTGCTTGGGTTGGCTTTAAACAGTGATCCTTAAGATCTCAGCCTCCTGAATAGCTAGAATTACAGGTGTGAGGCACCAGTGCCCCGTTTGGGGGTCTCTATAAGGACTGTCCCCTGAAATACCCTCAGGGTTTGGGGGAAGGACTAGGTTTCAACATGAATTTTGGAGACAACTTTAATTGATAGCATTCTTTCCCCCTTGGGGTCTGGTGTCTAATTAAAGAGTAATTCTCTTTTCATGGATTGGTAGTAAAACAGATTTGGGATGCCTCTAGCTTGGAGCCCTGGATCCATTGCCCACTTCAGTCTTAAGCAACAATTTAATCCCAATCCTTCCTCCAGATTTACCTTTCCTAGCCTTAAGAAAGAAAGGCCTAAAATGCTGAGTTCAGGCTCTCAGCCCAGCAGAAGAGGGCCAAAGGGATCTTCCTACCAATACAATTAAGGATGATCCTCAGAGTAGAGCCACAGGCAGAGCCCAGGCATTTGTATATAACTGTGTGTTTGTGACAGTCCTGGGGCTTGAACTCAGGCCCTGGGCACTGTCCCTGAGCTTTTTGTGCTCAAGGCCAATGCTCTACTATTTAAGCCCTATCTTCACTTCTTGAAGGTTAATTGGAGATAAAAGTCTCATAGACTTTCTTGTTTAGGCTGTCTTTGAACCGTGATCCTCAAGATCTCAGCCTAAGTCACTAGGATTATGGGTATGAACCATCGGTGTCCAGTTGGCATTTATATATATTTTTTAAAAACCTCTCCACGGACTATAACTAGCAACCAAAGTAGAAAACCCACTCTTGGTCACAGGACAGACTATCTGTTGTGCCAGTATAAGGACAGATTTCAAAAGGAACACTCGAGAGAATCTTTGTCATGATTAATCATAACAACACATAACAAAAGGAAAGACAATTAACAACAACAAAAAGAAACACAATTGCTAATGTCTTGATTGTATTCAAATTTTTATTGTTCTCCAACAAAAAAACTTTAAGACAATAATTTTAAATAAAACACGGTAAGTTCTAGACATTGACTGGGTTTTATAAATTTGGACTCCTACTACAGTTCTGTTGTGCTTTCTTCAATATTTATATTATTTCTTATTTTATTTTCACTCCAAACTTGATAAACAGTCACTTTCTGTTCATGTGAAGCTTCACTTGAAGGCAATTCTCCACTATCACAGAAAACACGCACACAGAACAGTCATTATTTATATTTACAGCAACAAGAAGTCTGTCCAGCCATTTTGGTTCTGTTTCTTTGCCCATACTGAGATCAGCAAAAAAGCTAAGAAGCAAGATTTCACTTCAGCAGGGCAAAGGACGGCATCAACCAAACTTCAAGAAATAAACCAACAAATCATAAACATGGTCAGCAAAATGCAACTCAGGTGGGGTTGATGACACAAAAATGAACATGGAGTGGGTCACAACTAGACTGTTTCTCACTGTGCACCTTTCCTCAAGGAAGAATTCTATATCCATTGCACACAAAGAAAGGGAAATACAGCCAAGCCTTTGTTCATGAAGAAAATGCCCTTCAAACAAATTCATCATAAGGCAAAAAAAAAAAAAAAAGATGATGAAGCAGTTTGGCCCAGAGAAAAAACTTAAATTAAAAAGGTGTATATATCTAAGCATATACACATTTTCAGATATATTGCAATTTCAACAAAGCACAGTCAGTCATTAGACAGTCAATGAATTGGCTCAGTACAGTGAAAAGTGTTTTCTATACCTATGGAGTTATTGCTAATCTGCTACACATGATGCATTGACATGAGAACTGTAGAAACAAAGGATTTGAGCCGACATATTGCCAGTGTTAGCCCTGCAGTAGGTATTGTAAGGACAATATACCACCTAATCCTGAAGAAAAGGCAAAATGCTACTACCAAAAACAGAAAGAGAGAAAGAGGCTTATGCACTGTCCCTTACATTTTTGCTAGTAAAAAAAAAAAAAAGCAACAACAACAAAAAAAACCCAAAACAAGTCCAGTTCACCACAAGTTAAGCAGAACCTGATGAGCAAGTTTAGCATACAATGGGGTTGAAGAGTGAAACACAGCATGCATTTACAGTTAGCAATCATCTAGTCTATTTTGTCATACAAACTGGAATACAAAAGTCCAATTTAAATAAGACTAGACTATCATAGTAAAAAAAAAACCAACAACATACACACACATACACACACACACAGTAGGCTTCGTTTGATACTGATTGATTTTTGAGTAAAACTCATTCTGGCTGTTCTTATGAATATTCTACTGCAATTTATTGATGGCTAGAGGATTTACTTTAAAAAGATATTAAATACCTGTATCATGAAATTACATTCTTATTAACAAGACATACAGTGTAAGAAAATAGCTCATGGTTGAAATGTGTCTGAAATGCATTTCTCCTTACAACTATCAAAATATCCACTCATACTAAAACAAAAATCATCCCAATCCCACCCACCCCCCTTACTCCCACCCCCCCCAAAAAAATTAAGGAAAGATGGGTGGGCTGGGCAGGGCACAGGGAAGGAGAGATTTAGCTACACTAATTATAGCACAGTGATTATTAACAATGGTTCAAGACAGAACCAACAAGAGTTGGTCAAAAAGATGCCTTCAATACATGGTTACAATTAAAAAAAAAAGAAAACAAAACCAAACTCAGCCACTTTTGGTTCATCACAGTGAGACCAAAATTGAAAAAAAAAAAAAAAGTCTCACAGATTTATATAAATATTAGACTCCAGCTCTTTCATTATCATTATTTAAAAGTTTTTTTTTCCATTTGTTTTTGCAAGGCCTAGCTACCTTATTACGATTTATATTTGCTCTGCAAAAACTACAAGAGGTAGGCATAAAGCATGAAAAAGTTTCTCAGGTAGGACCGCTTGGCCTTCTTCATTCTGAGTCTCCCTAAACCCTGCAAGGTGTTGCCATCTATGTTCTGAAAGAGTGAACTCACATATAAGAAACTTTCTCTACTGAAGGATACTGTCATAGTGTTTGTCACAGAGCATTCATATATATATATATGTATATATATATATACATATATGTATGTATATATATATACATATATATATATATATGTTTTAAAAAATAAACATCAAAAACCAAACCTAGGTTCCTAGAACCGCTTCTTTTGATTTTCTACTTCCACAGAACAAAATGTACCATTTGGCCAAGATTACAGATGTGTTTTTTTTTGTTGTTGTTTTTCCTCTCTTTTCTTTTCACAGATGCAAGCGTCATGCAAAATAAATTAAAGAACAGATACGAAAACATACATGGGATAAAACTACTGAAGGTAGATGTTGAAAAGCATTTATAGAAACATAATTTATAATACTTTTCTTTTTCTCCTGTGTACCGTTGCAGAGCTGCAGCTATACATCAAGGATTTCCTCGGCCGTGCCTCCGCAGCGCAGCCGGTAGCGGCCGGTTCTCCAGCTTATCGTGGGGTCCCACAACGCCGACAAAAAAATATATATCGTCATAGACTCGCGAATGAACCAAGCGACGGCATAATCAAGTTTTGAAAAACAGAGCGAGCCACCCTAGTAGTTGAAACAAACACATTTTGTCAGACTAAGACACAGCTTTAAAAAAAAGAGAGAGAGACAATTCTTATCTGAGCACCAGTGGCTTATGCTTGTAATCCTAGCTACGCAAGAGGCTGAGATCTGAAGATGGCAGTTTAAAGCCAGCCTGTGTAGGAATGTCTTATCTCTTGACTCTTATCTCCAATGAATCACCCAAAAGCCAGAAGTGGACTGCAGTTCCCAAGTGGTAGAGCACCCATGTTGAGCAAAAAAGTGAAGGTCTTGAGTTCAAGTGCTAGTATCAACACACACACACACACACACACGGGGGGGGGGGGGGGGGGGGGTGATTTAATTCTTATTAAGTACAGAAAATTAACTCTGTTTTCTCAGGTAATTCAGCTGCCATGCAATACTGTTTAGGGAAATGTTGATCATTTGTAAAAGTAGCATTTAAGTAACTATTATTGTATTGAATATATTGTGTTGACTATATCGGTTGATCTGCCTAATCATTTGTCTGAAGCCTTGATAAAAAATGGTTGTGTAACCAACTGAAGTTGTAAATTAAGTAAAATTGTATTGCACGTTCCACTTGGGAAAGAGATTTTTAAATCTGCAATTAGAGCATGGTAGTACATGCCTATAATCCCAGCTACAGGAAGATTATGAGGTCATAGTCAGTTCAGGCAAAGACCCTATCTCAAAAACAAAAAAACACCATCACTGGGCTGGGAAGGTGGCTCAGTGTAGAGTGCTTGCCATGCATGCATGAGGCCCTGGGTTCAATTCCTCAGCACCACAGAAGCAGAAAAAGCTGGAAGTGGTGCTGTGGCCCACGTGGTAGAACACTAGCCTTGAGCTGAAGAGCTGAGGGATAGAGCTCAGACCCAGAGTTCAGGCCCCATGACCGACAAACAAACAAACAAACAAACAAATGCATCATCACCAACAATAAAGGCTGGGAGCATAGCTCAAGTGGTAGAGTGCTCACTTAGTGAGCATATGACCCTGAGTCCAGCCCCTAGGACAGTAGAAAACGAAACACCCTAATATTAACCTTCAGTAAGAAACTGAAGAATAGCTCCAACCTTTCTAAATTAGAAGTGTTTTCATTCTGCCAAACAACTACCAACCTTTCCATGGCTATCCACATACCTGGACACCCCTGAGTTGAATGTAGTCAAATATAAACCACGCCAGGCAATGACACATGAAAAATACCATAATATCCCATCTGAATACATGGTGGGCTGCCCATCCGATAATTAAACTGGCAACAAAGCATTCAGAAATTGGCTCACAAATGATTGTAGCAGGAAGCATGTTAATTCGCAATTTGGTCCACCTTAAAAAAAAAAAAAAGATTTTTTTTCCCCCCCAGATTAACAGCCTGGTTACAAGACTAAGCAACGATCAATTTCCTAAAAGACTTCTCGTTTATTATTTATTTCTTCATTCTTTGCTCTACAAATCTATTCTCTACTTTTAGTCTATGAAAGGGAAAAGTCTTAAACTCATTGATACATGCTACATGAGTAGACTGTAAAATTCAATAAAGCTGTAAAGCTAAAAAATTAGAAGTCAGCATATAAAAATTCAAGTCTCAATGTGTTTTTTAAAACATTTCAGTGTTCACAACATATATATATATCATATATATATTCAATATGTATATTGAAAAAAGGAAATTCTTATCTGAGTGTCAGTGCTTATGCCCATAATCCTAGCTATTCAGGAGGCTGAGATCTGAGGGCTACAGTTCAAAGCCAGCCTGGGTAGGAAAAGTCTTTGAGACTCATCTTCAAGTAACTATCCAAAAGCTGGAAGTGAAGCCGTGGCTGAAGTAGTAGAGCTCCAGTTTTGAGCATAAAAGCTAAGGGACAGTTCCTAGGCCTTGAGTTCAAGACCCAGTATCAGTACCAAAATTTTTTTTATACATACACACATGAAAGAAAGAGGGCAGGGGGTGGGGGTGGGGGACAGAAAGGGAAAGAGATTGAGATTTAATTTACTTGAATACAGAATTGAACTTAAAACTTTATTTTCTGGACCTAAACAAAAAAACTCTGACATTTAGGTATACTTCAGAACATATTAGAACATATAAAAATTACCCTCTCCTCACCACTTTTCTTTTAACATAAATGTGAAAAGGAGACAATTAGTTACCTGATCATCCTGGATTGAAACTGAGAAATTGAGTAGGAACCCGAGTTTTGCATTGCAACTTGAGTGGACATTGCAAACCTCCATCCTCTGCAAAGGAAGGTAATTACAAACTGATCTAACGTCACAATCATGTGCAAACCTCACAGGTATGCGATCCTTAATCACTACAAGTAAGCAATTTCTGAGAGCCAGCTCGAGCCCTGTTCCCAGGATTGAGTAATCATTACATTGGCCTAAGGTGTTCCATCTACAAACTTCAAGGAACATCACAATTTCAGAAACTTAAAAAGTATGATCATTCTGAAAACCCTCATGGGAGAGGGTTCTAGATCTAATAGTTTCTTCTCTGACCACTGAAACCAACCTTCTCTCCATGCCCCCTGCAAAAGGAATGTGTGCTTCAGCACAAAAATGTAAACAAAAGGTTATTTCACTGAACACAGTCAACCACCATCAACTCCCTTAAGGGAGAACTCTTTTTTTTTTTTTTTTTTTTGTCAGTCGTGGGGCTTGAACTCTGGGCCTGGGCACTGTCCCTCAGCTCTTTAGCTCAAGGCGAGTGCTCTACCACTTGAGCTACAGCACCACTTCCGGTTTTCCGGTGGTTTATTGGAGATAGGAGTCTCACGGTCTCTCCTGCCCGGGCTGGCTTTGAACCGAGATCCTCAGATCTCAGCCTCCTGAGTAGCTAGGATTACAGGCGTGAGCCACCAGCGCCCGGCGAAGGGAGAACTCTTAAAAATACGTTTGTTGCTTTTGTTTTTTGTTAATCGTGCTTTTTTTGAATGATGGTATAAGACAAGTGATCTCTTAAAATCAAACAAATCTTTGTGATGGTAAAATTCTATGTCAACCACAAGACTCATTAAGTGGTTTACTAGCAAAGCACCAGAGAATGTGCCGAGAATTTCAAATTCTGAAATGATACTTAAAAAGTTTTCACCTCCTTAGGGCTGATGATGAGTAGCTTTAGTTCTTCAAAAACACACTGAGATTCACATTGATACTAATGAAAATGCATGACCGCAGACACACTTCCTTTCAATCCCTTCAAACCACATTAACTTGAATAGAGGTAAATGGATTTGCTCCACTAGTACATGTCGATGAATATTTAATACAAACTGTTTTGCCAAAATCACTCTGCACCTACTAACAAAAAGTACTATTAAAAAAAAAAGTCCTTGATTGATGTTCTACCACTTGAGTCACGCCTTTAGTCCTAAGACATGGTTTGAATACAATGAACAGACCAACAGCAGTTAGGTACTACAAATAATGTGGGCTTAACTTTGTCTTCTTACCTGTCAGCTATTGCTTTAGCCATGAAATAATCTTCAGCAATGTATTGAGCAAAAGCGATAAGTCCTCCTGCTTGATCTAGTACGTCCTTCCTCATTAAGCAGGACATTCCTGTCACACACTTGAAACCAGTGACATTGGCAGAGATGTAGGACCTTGGATGTGAAGTTCCAAAATACACCTGCCCCCAAAACCCCACCAATGTATACTGTTAGAACTTTATGTTAAAAGTATGGTGCTTATAAAGCTTCTTCCTAATAATTCTCTTTAAATATAATTTGAGTAAATATCCTTTTGTTTTTATCTAACCTACCCAAATAAAAAGTAGCACACAATTGTGCTTACATATAACAGGCAGTTAGTAATTTATTTGGTTGACTACAGTTGTTATTTACATGCAGGCAGGATATGGTGGCACATGGCTTTAATCCCGGCACTTGGGAGATAGAGGGCAGGAGGATTTGTCAGTTCTAGCTCAAGCTGTCTGGAGCCCTACCTCTCCCCAAAAGGGAGATAAAGACAGAGACTAAAAGAGAAATAGTTACCCCCGCCCCAACCTCTGTACTGGGGATTAAATTTAGGACCTTGCACTTGCTAGGCAGATGCTTTGCTACTTGAGGAGCCTTGTCTCCAGCCCCTTTTCCATTGGTGATTCTTGAGTTAAGAGTCTTGCTTTATGCCCAAGCCAACTTGGACTTTGATCCTCCTCCTTGTATTTCCCCATGCAACTGGAAATGGCAGGCACTTACCACTGCATCCTGCCACTGCTTCCTCCATAACTTGGATAACTGCCATGTGCCACTGCATCCAGCCATCAAATGAGCTGGCTTGAGAATTTTTTATGTCTGGTTGGCCTTGAATCATCACAACCTGATCTCCAGTGTACCTCGCCCAGCCATTGGTTGAGATGGACTCTCAAATTTCTTGTGTGGGCTGGCATACATAGGGGCGTGCATGCGTCTATGTGGCATGCGCACACTGGTCCTAGGACTCCAATTCAGGACCTGGGAGCTGTCCCCAAGCTTTGTTGCTCAAGGCTAGCACTAGCACTTGAGCAACCACTCTACTTCCAGCTTTTTGTTGAGTAATTGGAGAAAAGAGTCTCATGGATTTTCCTGCCCAGGCTAGCTTTAACCCACAATCCTTGGATCTCAGACTCCTGAGTAGCTATGATTACAGGCTTGAGACACAGGTGCCTGGCTCCCAACTGTATTTTTTTGGTAAGTATAAGAAAAGTACTAGGATCCCAAGTGCCAAAATGTTCAGACAGAAACAAAATCTTACGTCGTAAAATTATTTCTTCTAGCTAGTAGGGGTATGAATTTATGTACTGCCTTGAGTACTTTTCTAAAATTTATAATTTAGCACAAGTTAACATTTATTTTATAAGTTGAACTCATAGGACTGGAGATGTTGCTCTGGGGCAGAACATTTGCTAGCGTATACACAACCCTGAGAGTAATCTCCAGGACCACAAAAACAGACAAAAAATAATCAACCCCCAAACATAAAAGGCTGAAAGGAAAACACAAAATAATCACCTCTGATTATTAACAACATTCCAGTTCATGCCTGTAATCCTAACTACTCAAGAGGCTGAGATCTGAGGATTGTGGTTGAAGCTAGTACAATAACACAGATCTGAGAGACTTATCTAATTAATCACCCCAAAGCAAGAACCGGAGGTGTGGTTCAAGTAGTAGAGTGCCAGCCTTGAGTGAAAAAGCTGAGGGACAGTACCAGATTCTGAGTTCAAGCTCCAGTACCAGCATATGCACATGCGTGCACACACTCTAGACTTAGATGGATTCAGTATCTTACATGAATAATTATTTACATTGAAGTATTACATGATATATAAAAAGTTTTTTTAAACAATCAGTTTGAATCTTTACAAAAAAGTTATCCTATTCTTTTTTTTTTTTTTTGGTAACTCCTGGGGCTTGAACTCTGGGCCTGGGCACTGTCCCTGAGCTCTTCAGCTCAAGACTAGCGCTCTACCACTTGAGCCACAGAACCACTTCTGGTTTTCTGAGTGGTTTATTGGAGAGAAAAGTCTCATGGACTGGGGCTGGGAAGGTGGCTCAGTGGTAGAGGGCTTGCCTTGCATGCATGAGGCCCTGGGTTTGATTCCTCAGCACCATATAAGCAGAAAAAAAAAAAAAAGCTGGAAGTGGTGCTGTGGCTCCAAGTGGTAGAGCGCTAGCCTTGAGGTGAAGAGCTGAGGGACAGTGCCCAGAACCAGAGTTCAGGCCCATGACCAGACCAAAAAAAAAAAAAAGTCTCACGGACTTTCCTGCTCGGGCTGGCTTTGAACCACGATCTCAGCCTCCTGAGTAGCCAGGATTACAGGCGTGAGGTGCCCGGCCCAGTTATCATATTCTTTTATGTCAGTACATCTAGAGTGAACTTGTAGAACTGCAGTGTTTAGCCTGTGTCCAGCTGGCAAGAGAACCGTTCAACACATTTCACTGTGTGAAGGTCACCAGGCTGAGCTCCATTCAACAGTGAAGGGAACCCAGGGGCCAAAGGGCTGTCTCAGGAATGGAAACAGCTGCTTTACCCCCTTCAAGATGTCAGGCACAGTAAACGTCGGTAGCCAATCCCAATTTTCAGAATAGTCTAAAGCCTCTAGAGGATGGATCTAGAAATGTGAACATGACGTGCAACCAGCCCGCTCACCTGTTCTAATGTGGCAGCAAAGCCCTGTCTGTCTGCTACATATGGCAGCCCGTGAACCAAGCCTACTTTCTCTGTCATTTGATTGACCATGTCAGTTAGCGTGTCTGGAATTACTGAAATTAAAAACAAAAAGCAAACAAACAAACAAACAAAAAACCAGGTGGGGGAAAAGAGAGAAAAAGTTATTTTTAGCAAAATGCATGTTAATATAAAAAGTATGAGGTTATTATAAAAATAATTACTAAGGTGTCATAAAAGTAAATTTCAGTATGCATATTTCATCAGTTTTTGGAGTAGAATACACCATTTTCAAATCCTGTGTTGCTCAGCTAGTTTACTCTGCCAAGTTTTGAGCTTAGAATATACCTAAGATGTGCTAGAGGCAAGGGTGCACCTTGAAACTGTTACCCTGTGTCAGAGCTCGACTTGGAATCAGAATGATGTGTTGGCGGAAAAGGTTCAGAAGCTGAGGTCAAAGGGCCTCAGTTCCTATCTCAACTCTTCACTCACAGGAAGTAAGTGCCACTTCTCCAGACTTACAGAATTGCTAATGGAATGTACCACTCTATTTCACTGAAATTTGTACACTGAAAGACTTGACAAGTATTTGACAGTAACAAGTTAAGATTATTGTTACAATATTTTTACAATAACTAATAATTTTCAACGCTGCATCTCAAGGTAATGAAAAATTTTAAATCATTGCCTTGTCTTCGAATAGTAAGAGTAGGATATTATTTATTTTATGTGTCTTACTTAATTTCTTATTTCCTTTTATCCTTACTTTGGTGTGTGATCTTCAGATCTCAGCCTCCTGAGCAGGTATGATTACAGGCATGAGCCACTAGTGCCCAGCTTTTTTTTTTCCCCTCCTTTTTTTTAATGCCACTTCTAGGGCTTGAACTCAGGGTCTCTTGGCTCCTGCTTAGCTTTTTCACTTAAGGCTGGTACTCTACCCTTGAGCTACAGCTCCACTTCTAGTTTTTCTTGGTTAATTGGAGATAAGTCAGTTCAGTTAGAGATAAGAGCCTCTTGTATTTGTCTGTCAGGTTCACAATCCTCAGATCTTAACCTCCTGAGTAACAGATTACAGGCATGAGCCACTGATGCCCAGAGTATTAGATCTAGGTCAATGTTCTGAATCAGAAGCAATTCCTCTCTACAAAGAATGCCTGCAGACATTTTTTTGGGTGTTCCAACTGAGATGGAGGTGCTAGTGGGCAAGGATGGTTTAACATAGCCTATGGGGAAGTCATGACAAAAGAAATGCCATCAGGCCCATGCCAACAGTGTTGACATTGAGAAACTGAAGGTAATTAAAACAATAACAAAGCACTAAATAAGCTAATGTAAGTATAAGTGTTTAAAAATGCAAATTATAATTTCTGAATAAAAAAGGCTTCTTGTTAAAATCACCTAAGTAAAAAGACAAACATAAATCCTAATAGAAATATTCCCACCCAGGAAATCATGTACTTATTGATCTTGTCCCGTTTGAGTAGTCCCTGGTTAGTGTATTAGATTTAAGCAAAAAGGTAGTGTCACACAAATAAGGGGAAAGTTACATGCATGATGTAGCCCAGACAATAGACCAGATTATTTTTCTAATGGTTAAAATTTTCTCTTAAAAATGAAATATTTTAATAATAATACAATATTCTAAAAAACAGTAATCTTAGAAAGTAGAGGTGGATATAGTACCATGACTTTACTAGGCAAATAATCAAGATTGGTAAACTTCTGATTTTGGCATTTTATCATGAAATGAACAGTTTTATAAAATAAATAAGAAAAAAACCTCACCTCTTATTCCACTATCACAAATCCATATAAGATCATACTTTGCAACTTCATATCCTGGCATCAAATTATTAATTTTAGGATTAATGCCAACCTTTTTGCCACCTAAAAATATAAAGGCACAACAGGATATATAATAGTGAAAATACTTTCTATTATAAAGATACATGGCAGGAAGGAGTATAAAGGGTTTCATATTTAATCACTTAAACAGACATTTTCATGTCACATCTTTTATATTCTTTTTCATTCATAATAATATATATCTTCTACATTCTTTTTCATTCATAATAATATATCTAGAAAAAAGTTATTCCCCAAAAGAGAATTCTATTTACCTCTGAAAATTCAAGTCTCGTTTTCTAATTCTTTTTTTCTTTTTCTGCCACTCCTGGGGGCTTCCCTTAGTTTTATCATTAAAGACTAGCACTGTACCACTTGAACCATAGTTCCACATCTGGCTTTTTGCTGTTTAATTAGAGATAAGAGTCACACAGACTTTCCTGCCCATCTGGCTTTAAACTACAATCTTCAGATTTCAGCTTCCCTGGTAGCTAGGATAACAGGTACAAGGCACTGGTACCCAACTAATTTTCTAATTCTTAAAGTTACCACATTAACAATAAATGTGAATCATTGTTCAATGGCAATTGCACAGCATGATGACTCTAGTTACAGTAAACATATGCTGAATAGCTGAAAATGGTTAAGAGGAAAAAAAATTTTAACCACAAACACATATACAAACTAATGTATAGGTTAATTAACTTAATTCAGCTATTTATAATGTATATGTTTCAAAATGTTATGCTGCAAGCATAAAGATGTACACATTTTATTTGCCAACTTAAAAAAGTGATAGGGATGAAAATGTATAGAACTCATTTTGAAGCTATGGTAATTAAGACAACATAGAGAAATTAGCCATTAGTGTGGAGTTGAGAATTCTTATCAGGTATATATTTTTAACAACGGGGCTGGGATGTGGTACTAGGCCTACCTAAAGGCAAATGCATCTCTGCACGTTTTTGAAATAAACCTGTAAACTTCCCCCTAAAATACTTTCTGCAATATAATACAAGTGAAATCTACTGCTTACTTGTAACTACTATAAATAATTCAGAGAATAGGCTACATATTGAAAATATTAAAGACCCAAAAAGAACACTCATATGTCTCTTGTAAAATTTAACTGTTTCACTGGTGATAATTTAAAAATGCCCTTATCTACAGTCAGGAAAGATTTCCTGATACTTAAGACTATCAAAGCAGATCTTATTTGTTACTTACCTATAAATAATCTAGCATCAACATTTGGGTATTTTCCAAGCAGCTTCTTACATACATCAATGGCTGGATCATCATGATCTTGTACACAAAGGAGTACTTCATACTAGTCAAAGAAAATATTTTACATTAAGTGCTCTTAAAATATAAGCACTTGGATTTACAGATTGATCAAAAAATTTAAAGAAAACAAGCAACTGTATGAGTACACAAAGTCTGAGTATCTATAATATATCTAACACTCAACACTGACGGTAACAGGTTGCTTAGATGAATAGGGACTTTTCCAGAACAGGTGTCTGTTTGCAAGCAGAGGGAACAGGAAAGACAGACCAAATACATCCTATCGCATCAAATTAGGCCAGAAATAGTTGCAGACATATAAAGTACATACTGTATAAGATATGTAGATTTATATATGTGACAAAGGCATTTAAGCGATAAATAGCATCTACTCTAAATGAGCATAATTCAAATACAGAAACGATAAACTCTAATCTAGGGAGAAAGTTAGCCTTCTATCAAATCTTGAATAAGACTGCTATTCAATTAGCTAACCAGAATAAATTTCTCTTTTTCTTTTCAAATAGTGAAATGGCTAAAAGGCTGAGAACATAGGTAATAATCAAAAAATTTTAAAAAAAATCCCCAAACTGAGAACACTTGGCCCCTTGATGACTAAAGAACTTAATACTTGGGGCTGGCAAGGTGGCTCAGTGGTAGAGCGCTTGCCTTGCATGCGAGGCCCTGGGTTCCATTCCTCAGCACCACATAAGCAAAAAGAAAAAAGCCAGAAGTGGCGCTGTGGCTCAAGTGGTAGAGCGTTAGCCTTGAGCTGAAGAGATGAGGGCAGCTCCCAGGCCCAGAGTTCAGGCTCCACGACAGGATCCCCCCCCCTCAAAAAAAAAAAGTACTTAATACTTGCAACTGCGATATTTATTTACATTTGTCACTAAATTAGGTGCATCAATTACAGATTTAAATGTATAAATATTACAAAAATATCCTCACTGAGTCAGGCGCCAGTGGCTCATGCCTATAATCCTAGCTACTCAGGAACTTGAGATCTGAGGATCGTGGTTCAAAGCCAGCCCAAACAGGAAAGTCCATGAGACTCTTATCTCCAATTAACCACCAGAAAACCAGAAGTGGCGCTGTGGCTCAAGCGGTGGAGTGCTAGCCTTGAGCTGAAGAGCTGAGGGACAGTACCCAGGGCCCAGAGTTCAAGCCCCGTGAACACCACCACCACCAACAACAACAAAATATATATCCTCATTGATTTAGTCCTGTAGATGCTTTATTAGAATAAAAAGGCTAAAATAAACTTTTAAAAAAGGATCCTCCCCCTCCCACCCCCAGGGGAACTGAGAACTGCAACCAGAGCCGTGCGCATGATAAACATGCAATCCCTGCGCTACAATCTCAACCCTGAAAAAGCTTTCTTTTGTGTGTGTGTGTCCATCCTGGGGAGCCATCCCAGAGCTTTTGTGATCAAGGCTAGTGCTCTACCAATGTGAGCCACAGTGCCATTTCTGGCTTTTTTTTTGTAGTTAAGAGGTAAGAGTGTGTCTCACAGACTTTCCTGTCTCAGCTGGCTTTGAACCTCGATCCTCAGATCTCAGCCTCTTGAGTAGCTAGGATTACAGGCTTGAGCCACTGGACTCAGACTTAAAAGTGGTTTATGATATTAATTATTATAATTGTACATCAAGTAACAATATTCTGAAACATCTTCAGCTATTATTCATAAGTAACTACACATCAGGTTTACAAAAACTTTGTAACAATCTATAAGAGAATATAAATTCTATGAGGGAAGGATCATAGGAAGGGGATAACTCATAAGAAAATTCTAAATTCCAAGTTTTGAAAGGTAATAATGTATATTCATTATCTATTTGCAAGCACTAGATAGTTTATATGGTTTATTAAAAGTATTTGATAAAAATCTTAACAATCTTCATCTTATTACAGGTATCAGCAACACTTGTGCTCTGTCTTTCAACTCATCCTAGTTTTTATTTTATTTTCTTCTGCTAGTATGGGGGCTTGAACTCAGGGCCTGGGCACTGTCCCTTAGCTTTTTCTCCCAAGGCTGGAGGTCTGCCACTTGAGCTATAGCTCCACTTCCCGCCTTTTGTTGGTTAACTGGAGTGTCTCAGACTTTCCTGCCCAGGCTAGCTGTGATCCTCAAATCTCAGCATCCTGAGTAGCTAGGATTCCAGATGTGGGACATTAGTGTCCAACTGTATTTTTCAGTTTAATTTATTGTTAGAAAATTAGTTGGTTGGAAAAAAATTCCTGGTAGGCATAGCTAAAATGCTCATAGTGAGGAATCCAAAACATGGCTCTAGACTTGAACATTTTAAAGTAACTCTATGTTTGCAAAGATGAAGAAAAAAAATTCCAATGACTCTAACCTGTTAGTAACCCTGACAATTAGTTCCAAAAGTCTTAATAATTTATTGACGTGAAATACTTTCAGAATCTTTTACTAGATTTACCCAAATCTTTCCTATATTTGATAACAAGTGACATTCAACTTCATAAAAAATGACCTGTGTCATTTTCTCACTTAAAAAACATGTGTCAATATAAAGGTAGGCTAATAAGATATACTTACACTGCATAGAAATCTATCAGGGAAATTAGCATAGAAATAGGCTAGAAATTAACTGTAGGCTACCAGTGGTAAACATTCTTGCTCAGGTCCAAAATTAAATACAACTGGAAAACCTCAACATAAGTTCTATTTTCTTTTTCCCCAAGTGGCTTTGGATGTGACAAATAAAATAACAGAAGAAAAAGTTATCCCCAGAATGAAGGAAGATATGCTTTTTGTTTTGTTTTGTTTTTTGGGTCCAGTTGTGGGGCCTGAACTCTGGGCCTGGGCACTGTCCCTCAGCTCTTCAGCTCAAGGCTAGCACTCTACCACTTGAGCCACAGCACCACTTCCGGCTTTTTTTTTCTTTTTGCTTATGTGGTGCTGGGGAATCGAACCCAGGGCCTCAGGCATGCAAGGCAAGCGCTCTACCACTGAGCCACCTTCCCAGCCCAGATATGCTTTTTTGTAAAGTGATGTTCACACCCAACAAAAAATAAACATAAAGTGCACTGGATGTGAGCTTATTCTGTGCATACTGATGGCATGGTTCCATAAACCTTTCATCTTGCTCTTGCCCCCTCCCCTCCCCTGCCCACCCCCAAATCAAGTAAAATGTGGTAAGGTTAGGATTTTCTCTTAAGCCAGGTACCAATGTACCTGTAATCTTAGCTACTGGGGAGGCTGAGATCTGAGGATCCTAGTGCAAAGGCAGGCAGGGCAGATAAATCTGTGAGACTCATTTCCAATTATCCAGCAGAAAGCTGGACCTGGAGGACTGAGAGAGAAAGCCAAGTGAGAGTAAGAGGCCCTGAGTTCAAGTCCTTGTACTGGCACACAAAGAAAACTTCCCTTAGAGTGCAGTACCTGCTAGTTACACAGCTAAGAATATTTTTATAATCTGAAAATATATGCTGTTATTCAATTAATGATGAGTATTGTCACAGCTTTCTCTTCAACTGAAATGCTACAATGACAGCAAAAATGGGGAAAGAACTTGAGATAATCCTGTCATGTAATCTTTACAAAATCTTTATTTAGAACGAATCAATTACAGATTCCTCTTAAATATACATAATTATTGGATATATATGTTCTTGGGGTTATTTTTTTTTTTTACCAAACTCTTTAATTAAAACCTGTAGTAACCTCCTCAACTAATTAAACCTCTTGATTACAGAATCATAAGGGCTGGAACAGAAAAGTGACTGTTGAAGATGGTTATGAAGCTGAACAATCAAACTGCATTCTACCATAATAAATGCAGATAACTCTAAGTTATGTTCTAAGATTTACTTTCCTCTGTATCTTCCTATATATTATGGGGCTTGAAAAACTTCCATTTTTCTTATTGCAAAGTTTATATTATAATTTTATTTACATTGTTCTTTCTTAACTATAAAAGGCCATGTTTACAATTTGAGTGTGAAAAAAATCTGTGCTATTCCATATTCTTATTTTTAATATCTTATTTCAATAAACAATATAAGCCTTGAATTCAAATCTCTAAAATTATAAAATTTAAAGCTGGTTCTAGTAGCTCATGTTTGGAGTCCTAGCTACTCAGGAAACTGAGATCTGAGGATTTGGGTACAAAGCCAAACTGCACAGGAAAGTTTGTGAGACTTATCTCCAACTAACTAGCAAAAGGTGGGAAGTGGATTTGTGACTCAGGTGGTAGAGCACAGCTTTGAGCAGCAGCACCCACATCCTGAGTTCAAGCTCCAGTACCAGCAAGTTTTTCCAAGAAACTAGAGATGAAACACTAAAGGGGAAACTATAAAAAGAATACTTTCATCTCAAGAAAACAGGAAGTTCTCTAGTACAGGAAGGCCACTGAGTTTATAGATGTATATATAGGTCATGAGACAGATAAGTGGTATGAACAATAAAATCATGCATTACAAATCAGAACAGAGAAAGAGAAATTAAGCAAGAGGAAATATCCTGACATTAAATGTAACCTATTGTCCTGGCTCAATACCAGTTTCTCAAGGACATTCCTGTTTCCATCCAGCTGCCTGGCAGCCCATCTCAGACCATTGAGCACTTTCCTCACTGGTGCCTTCCCTGTTCTATTCTTCAGGTATGACTCTCACAGATTTTTTGCGGGGAGGGAGCCAGTCCTGGGGCTTACACTCAGGGCCTGGACACTGTCCCTGAGCTTCTCTGTGCTCAAGGGTAGTGCTCTACCACTTGAGCCACAGGGCCACTTCCAGCCTTTTCTGTGTATGTGGTACTGAAGAATCGGACCCAGGGCTTCATGCATGCGAGGCAAGCAATCTACCACTAAGCCACATTCCCAGCCCACACAAATTTTTTTTTTTGGGGTCCGGTCGTGGGCCTTGAACTCTGGGCCTGGGCGCTGTCCTTCAGCTCTTCAGCTCAAGGCTAGCGCTCTACCACTTGAGCCACAGTGCCACTTCCGGCTTTTTTCTTTTTGCTTATGTGGTGCTGAGGAATCTAACTCAGGGCCTCAGGCATGCAAGGCAAGCACTCTACCACTGAGCCACCTTCCCAGCCCCCCAGATTTTTTTTTTTTTTAATATTCATACTTCCAGCACTTGATAGGGTCTGAAAGTTCCAGGAAGTTTACTCAGGGAATCTGACATACAGGTGGTAAGAAAGGCACCCTAGTTGCAGTTCTAATGACTCAATTAAAGCTTAAATTTTTCTACACCTTCACCTCATAGGGTAATACATTTTCTAAGAATTTCCAGTGAGGTCATATCCTCTCCCCTCAGGAGTTCACATTGTACTTACTTTGGGGTAATCCAGTTCAAAGAAGGTTTCCAAATTATTGATTAAATTGGGATCTACCCCTTTCAGTGGTTTCAGGAGAGAGACACCCGGGAGCTTGCTATATGGCTGTTTGTCTGTTGCCTTCTTGTTGAGGTGTAATCGCCTGAAAAGCAAATGACATGCAAATCATCTCTAGAGATCCAACATACAGCACATGCCATCTAATAAATCACTAAATGCTAATCTGAAATTCTATCTATCTATCTATCTATCTATCTATCTATCTATCTATCTATCTATCTATCTATCTAGGGTGTAGTAATAGAGCTGTCCCTCAGCATTTTTTCTGCTCCATGCTTTACCACTTGAGCCACAGCTCCACTTCTGGATTGTTGCTGGTTAATTGGAGATTAAAAAAAAAGTCCCATGGGCAGCTTGGGCTGGCTAAAAACCACAGTCTTCAGATCTCAGCCTCCTAAGTAGCTAGGATTGTAGGTCTGAGCCACGAGGGCCCAGCTTAATTTGAGGTTTTTAAAAGCTGAAAAGGAAGGAAAGTAGAACCAAGTCAAGTAAGCTTCTAGTTCAAGGGAAACAGGAACTAAGCAGAATGAATATTCTCATGAAGATGACAACTTCCATGTAGACTGTTTACTGTTTATTGCTGTGCCCTGTGCTTAGGAAGTATGCTGGCACGGAAGAGGCATTCCAGGGTAGGTATTTGTTAGTACAAATATTACCATCAATGTGGCCAGAGAACTACATAGATAAATAAAACCCCTAACCAGCCCAGTAAAATACAGAAGGGTAATGAGACAACTTTTTTGAGAATTTTTTATACTAAGTAGTCCAGATCAATATGCCACCAAAACATGGAAGCAGTAAGATGGAATAAATAAGCCCAGAAGGGTAAAGATAGAAAAAAAAACAAGGTTAAACATAAAAGAAAGAATGTCAATGATGTGAAAAATGTGTGTTAGTGACCCTGGAAGATATACCAGCGCTGCCAGTTTGCAGAACAAACTGCTGGTCCACTCCATAGCTGCTCCAGCAGAAACCTTAATGAGGACCGCCCAGCCCATCAGAGAAGATGGAAGGCATCCCAGATATCATCAGGCTGTCAAAGTGAGAGATGCCATTTGACAGAGAGAAAAAGTTTCTAAAAGAGCTCATAAAAGCCTTCCTTCCTACTTCTCCTAAGTACATTGCAAGAGCATCTTGTAAGTACAACTCCAAGCATCCAATAGTAATTAGATGCTAGAATAATCATGGCTCCATCTGCAAGACTTTCTAAGACACATGTTTCTCCACATTTTAACATCTCCAAAGCCAATAGCATCTTGGGATTGGCTGCCAACCAGATGGCAGTCCTGGTTGGTATTGTAAAAACCAACTGAGGAGACCTTCCAGGAGATCCAAAAACACCCACTCAGCACACCTCTGATTCACTATAAATCTCTGCAGAAGTCCTGGCAGGGCGTCAGTATCAACCTCTAGAGCAGTCAGCTGCAGGCTCATTCCCAGCAACTAACAGGGATGTGTCACTGCAAACATCTAATGTTTCTGACCCCACCACATCTCACTGAAGTAAACAGGTTGCCTAAAATTGAAAACAGTAACAACAACAAACCCCCAAACCCTTAAATTGATAAAGAAAAGGTGAGCATTAACTTCTGAACCCAGCACCAAATGTCAGAAAACAATGGCACATCATCTATGAGTGCCACTTAAAGAGTATGAACTGGTCTACCAGTTGCTACTTACTGGCCGGCAATTAAAAGAAATTGACAGGGGGCTGAGAATGTGGCTTAGTGGTAAAGTGTTTGCCTAACATGCATGAAGCCCTGGGTTCAATTCCTCAGTACCACATACACAGAAAAAGCCAGAAATGGTGCTGTGGCGCAAGTGGTAGAGTGCTAGCCTTGAGCAAAAGAAGCTCAAGGGCCAGTGACCAGGCCCTAAGATCAAGCCCCAGGACAGGCACAAAAATAAACAATAAATTAAAAATTAAAAAGAAATAAAAGAAATTGACTTTATCTGAACACCCAAGCATATATGACCAGCAACTTACTATATTTTTCCAAATTACCAATCCAGTCCATGGCAGACTAGAAAAGTTTAAGGAACTAATTGTTTCTCTCAGAAAGTTTGAAAAGTTCATCTGTCCAGGGCTACACAGAGGCAAAACCAGGATCTAAAACTTAACCACAAAATTGATCACTCTCCTGTTTCAAATAAAATAGCAGACCGGATGTCTGGAGAAAACTAACCCAAGTCCAGGCCATCTGACTTGCTAAAGGACCCCCATTCCCCCCCCCCCAAAATTGTATCAAACATTTAACTGAACATGGTTGAGATCACAAAAGTATTACGAGGTTCTCATGAAATAAGTTTTTCCCCTGTCACCCAACCTCCCATCTACTCTGTTCCATTCATTATCTCCCCAGCAGTATTAATGTCCTTCTTACCCTGTCACAGTGTTTTTAAATGTACATACAAGTAGAAACATAAATACACACAGAATAAGGGTGTGTGTGTGTGTGTATGTGTATATGGGCTCTTAGGGAAAAGGAAAATGTAGAAAGCCTCCAATGTCAGAACTGAGAAACTCCTGCTTGTACCAGGTTTATCTGCTTATCTGGATGTCCTGGCCATACAGAAAAGCCTGATGTTAAGATGAGAAGAAATCTGTTGTGAGAGCTTTATATAAAAATAAATTCACAGAAAGTCAGAGCAGAAAGCTCCAACACTCATTAGAGGTGTACTTTAACTTACATTCAACCCTAATGGATGTGGAATACAAGGAAAAAAAAATACTCCTGGAAAACACCCTACCATGTGGACTTGGGGCCTAGAATCTAAAGTACTTGCCCTAAACAAAGCTGAAGAGAAAAAAAGAGAGAGAGAAAAAAATAGTCAGCTATGATAAAATAAACAAAAATAAGTAAACAATGTCTAGAAATGAAAGGTATGCTTGCTGTTACGAGAAACTCAACACACAGAACTCAGAAGACTGCAGACACACAGTGTGAAAGTAACCTGGAGGCTACATTTGAAGAAATCACCAGAATGCGTGAGAGGGAATGAGAGACCAAGACGGAAATCACGAGTTTGAGACCGGAAGAGTAGGATAAGAAAGTCTAATCCTTATAATTCTTATCATGTGGTCAGTAAGTGCCAAAAAAGTGTTTCAAAACTGTCACATGCTGTGTTGATCAATTTAGGTTAAAAGCAGCGGCAGCAGTGAAACCCATCAAAACACTTCTAAACTGCTTTGTAGCTTTTATGTTTTTGTAAAAATTCAGAGTGAATTGTATTCTTCCCTTCTTTCCCTTTTCCTTTAAGATGTTTAACTAAACCTTCTATCCTTTGAAGAGCTTGTCATATCAAGAATGCAGTATTTTATCATAGATATTCATATTCTGGCTCAATGAAGTTGGAGACTTTGGGTTTAAGAGAAAAGAAAGTAGAATATGTGAAACTTCTACTCAGAATCTTTATAGGACAGACAGCAATGGGAGACTCTCATACCCTACCTACCGTTTATCTCCACTCAGCCTCTCTTTAGTATCTTTTTCCATACCCCAAAGTTTATAACATTCCCCTATTCAGTTTATGATATTCCCCCAAGGTATAAGATCCTGATTTGCAGAATACAGTTTTGCTTTAAATAATGCTAACAGAGCCCCTTTGTACAAATTACCTATATTTTCGTCAAAATGATAAAAGAAGGTCCATTAAATCATAATACATACGGACTTTGTACTGTTTACCACCCACATACCACCCAGCATAACTATTTAACATGGACTTACTGAACATACTCTGGGCCCCCATATTCATGAAATACGATCCTATGGACTGGATGATAAGGAGACAAATTAGCCACTGACAACCAACAATGGCTTAATGAGGTATAGGGGTGGATTTATGAGGAATGGGTAGTGATGAATAAGTACTTCCTACAAAGCTCATGGATGTTAACACAGTTATGGGGCAAGAGTATAGCAACTGCCTGCTACACACAGAAATAATGCCCTTGGCCATGACCAGTGTGTTGTAAAACAATCCACAGTCATATCTTCCAACATGTGACCAACACTCCATTTGATGGAGGTCTCATGTCTCAAAAGGCCTCGTGGTGGGTAGACAGTGTTAACTTGAGCCTATCTATATACTTACACATTGAACAGGATTTTTTTCCTGGGTAAACACTGTTCTGCCCCAAACCTAGATAGTAGGTGTGGCTTGCTTTCTGCCAGGATCCCAAGTACCCCACTATCTCGGGTCCAGATTTTATATCGGGAATTCAGTTGTACTACTTTATTATTATGTATGTGGCTTGAAGCCTGGACATTTTTGTTGCAAGGGGTACCGTTCATTGATACATAATATACATATTGTAAAGTCACACATAAGTATACAACTTAAACAATGTCCTAAGGTGAAACTCCCCATAATCTATACTCAGATCATGAAAACAAAAGCATTACCAGAACCCCAGAAACTTTTGCCATGTCTCCTTCTGTTTACTATTCTTTTCAAGGATAGTTACTATTCTGCTGGCTAATACCAAAAGACTAATTATATCAGTTACAATTGTCTTTTTTGGAGGGTGGGGGTGGAGAGTAATTCTAGCATTTGAACATAGAGCATTATACTAGCTTGCTAGACAAACACTCTACCAAGAGAGCTTCCAGTCCTTTTTACACTGGTTATATTTGAGACGGGGTCTTGCTTCCTATCCAGTCACACATACCTCAACCCTATTTTAGCCTCCTCTCACATCTAGGATGCAGCTATAGGCTAAGATGAAGTCCTGCGAAATTTTCTACCTGGATGTCCTTGAACTACAATCCTCCTGTTTTCAGGACTACAGGTGAGAGCCACCAGTACTGGCTTCAACTTCAAATTTTATACAGATAAAATCCCATTAGACAAGACCCTATTGTGTTTAGCTTCTTTTGTTTGACAGTATGGCAGTGAGATTTAGTCATGTTACATTTAGTTATAGCTTATTCATTGTTACTATAGTATTCTTTATATTAATATACCGCATTTTTATTTACTGCTAATAGGTAGTTGCTATTTACAGTTGGGGCCATTATTGTGTTATAGTCTTGTTTCTGGTTCTTACACAAGTATTAAAAACTCTAATCTTCTCCC